TCGATGGTAGATGTTTTTCATTTGGAGTTAGACATTTTATAGATTTTTTTCTTTCAGTGTCAGTTTAATAATTACTGTGTGAATATTTACTACAATATTTTTGTATTGGTCTGGCACGTGCATTGTGACAACTGCGATTACTTAAACTTTGAACTCTCACTGGGGTCATCACTCAAATATATAGCAGCCACAGTACTAAATAATTAAAAGCGCGCGTAAATCATACAAACTTTGTTTCAACCGTATCCTCACTGTGCTGACTTTTTTTTTCATTTTCATGTGATTTAAAAAAAAAAATAATTGCTCACCTTCAAATGTGGCTTTCACTCTGGAAAACCTTTCAACATGCCAAAAGTAAAGTATGAGTAAACATTTCGGAAAGAGTTGCTGCATAATGACAAAATTAAAGTCTGGGTGATAGCAGTTCCTGGGGATATGACCAAGGCTCGTTTAGTACTGCAAGTGTGAAATTAAAGTGAAAATACAATTCTTGAAGAGTCATACAGAGACTAAAGAGCATAAAACTGCAGTTCCATATAAAGATATTACACCGCTGATATCTGTTTTCAGAACTACACTGATAAATGAACACCTCATCGAAGTGTGCAAAAGTTTATACAGGGATTGTAGAAGTGTAGTTAGAATACATCAGGGAACATCTCATCCTTTCACAGTGACATCTGGAGTAAGACAGGGGTGTGTCTTATCACCACTGCTGTTTATCACCTACATCGACAGTATATGCAAGAATGCCAAGCCCATGAATGAAGATCTTAGTAAGATCAACGAATTACTCTTTGCAGATGACCAGGCATTGATAGCAGATACAGCCATGAAATTGCAACAACATCTAACATCCATGAATGAAGATTGTAAAACAAATAATATGAGAATCAACACTGAAAAGACAGAAGTAATGTCGATAGGAAAAAAGAAGACAAATCTAAACATAGCAATAGAATACAAAGGCATTAAACAGGCATCTGAGTTCAAATATCTGGGAACTACATTTACCGAAGATGGTAAATTGGATAAAGAAATTGACATTAGATGTAGTAAAGCAAACCAAGTATTGGGACAATTCTGGATTACATACAAAGACAGCAAGTGAAATGGTTTGCCCACTTAGAGAGAATGCCCTGTGACACCATACCATACAAAGCATACATGGAAAGAGAAGAAGGACGTAGAGACGGGGTAGACCAAGAACAAGATGGAAGGATAACATCAGAGAAACTCTACAACAGCACGATGCGCCTATGGTCGAGGCAGCCAGAAGAGCTAGAAACAGAACCTTATATCTCCCTCGACACCCACAGCGGTAAAAGAGGAAGTGAAGAAGAAGAAGAAGAAGAAGATAAAATATTTTTTATTAAGCATAAACATTTAGTTCTATGCAACTGTATGTGCTCTAATGTACTCCCCTGACCATGCGCTCTCATGATTTCACTTAGATGATCAATTGTGCGTATTGTACAATGGCAGGTCATGCTTACAGCAAGTTGCAACTCTGCTGCTTTAACTTTATCTTTACTTTGCCTAGGAGTTATTGTTGTAATAAGCTGTGACTGGCTTTTTGCCAGAGATTTCATCCTGTTTTTCGGATTTTTCATGATTTGATATGCTACTAATTCTTGGTGCAACAGTGCACTGACACAGTTTACAATATGCTGCCTCTGATTCGTCTGAAGATATTTTGAGCCGTGGGTATGTTTCTTCCAGTTACTATTATACTTGCAATGTCATAAGATGCTTTCCATTTTGTGGATGACGTTGCCATTGGTAAAAGTAATAAAATCAATTACAGATAGAACTAGATCTATATCCTCTCTATTTTCTGTCCTCAAGTAGTTTCTGAACAGTCTGAATGAATCACTTGGTATCAGCGGTGGGTTTTGGTTTTAATCCCCCATTTATTCTAGTAGATTAACCAAAATTACAGAGGGCCTTGGTTTATCGAAGTCAGGATCCGTTTAGGAAGACAACAAATACAATAAGAAATAGTGCGAATCTCCGTTAGTTGGTACCAGAACATCACAACAAAGTTAAACTGAAAGATGTTAACTGTAGGTCTACATTGCATTTAGTAAATCTGCGTGTTTCTAAAGGAAGAACCTTGAAGAAAATGTGAGAACATCTTGATAAGAAAAGCCATGGAAAAACCCAAATATGCCAAAAATGCCAGTTCATTATCTTATGTCAGTTCAATTTCAAATATGCCAAATTAATGGATTCTTGCATCAAAAATGCCAATATGGCAACCCTACGTCCTAACCTCCCAGCCAGGCAGTTGCCGGTGACCCGGAAATGAACTTTGTCCCGGTTGATCACTTTCGATTTCCGTGGAGCAGACGGCAGACGGACGGAGGCGGTATTTGTTGTAGGTAAGCTTTGTATGTGTCAGCTTGTGTTCTCCCCTACCTCCTGGACACCTGATGCTGTCTGCAATACAGCAATGCTTGCATGTTATAATTAGCACATCATAAGAATTATTGTAGCTGATGTTCAGTTGGTTTTGTGCCGGGTTACCGTGAGTGTCACAACACAAGCAGACATCACCCAGACCGTCTGGCTGGTGACTTGAATGCAGCGGTGGTCTGGGTAGTTGCTGAGACAGCAGACACAAGACACCACTGACAGCCTGACTGGGACAAAGTGCTGATTGTCTGGTGCAGGCCCACATTAGGAGATAGCCACAGGAGATAGTAACTAACTGCTCAAGGTGTGATCTGTATGCTGCACGAGTGTACCACACAGGTCGCTGGTTCTCACGTGTATCCACAGGATCAGCGAAAGGAAAGCAGAGATAACTATCATTTACACTCGTTGCCCAGACACCATTATTCGCATTCCCTAAAGGTGATGGGTCCCTGCCTGACATACATCTTCTGTATTTGCAGCCTCTACAATTTCAGTGACATACCAAATAGTGCATCATTTGATCAGCTTAACAAATCTAGTTTTTCTGCCCCTCAATTTTGAAGAAAGGTTTAATTGACTGCTTGGCAGGCGGTGATTTGTTGGCAATCTTTGACCAAGGACATCCCAGAGGTGTTCAGTCGGAGAATAGTCGGGTGAATGTGCATTCTCTTTATGAATGCCCTTTACCGACACCCCGCCCCCACCCTAAAAAAAAAACTCACAACAGCATGTTGTTCTTTGAGGGGACACTGTAAGTACAGTGGCCATTTTGTTTCTGTGTTGCGAATTCGCATGCATCACCTAGCGCTACCTAACCCTTTGTGTCCCAAGGAACGCATCATACATTCATAGGTTCCTACCTAGAAGCCCAATAAACGCATGATGCGCCGATTTTATTACTTTCTTTACTATACCCTGGGCCTGTGATGTTCCAACATTCAACAACATTCAACAAGGATTTGCTTCAACATTCAATAAGGATCTGCTTCAACATTCAACAAGGATTTGCTTCAACATTCAATAAGGATCTGCTTCAACATTCAACAAGGATTTGCTTCAACATTCAATAAGGATCTGCTTCAACATTCAACAAGGATTTGCTTCAACATTCAATAAGGATTTGCTTCAACATTCAATAAGGATTTGCTTCAACATTCAACAAGGGTTTGCTTCAACATTCAATAAGGATCTGCTTCAACATTCAACAAGGATTTGCTTCAACATTCAATAAGGATCTGCTTCAACATTCAACAAGGATTTGCTTCAACATTCAATAAGGATCTGCTTCAACATTCAATAAGGATCTGCTTCAACATTCAACAAGCATTTGCTTTGACTTTGAAGAAGATTATGTGTAGTCATACTTGTACATGACCACTGTTTATCAGCTCACATATGTGTCATGAAATAAATGCTGCCTGTGTGGGTTCCATGTCCTTAGAGTGGGGCACACAGAAATACACCCACTGCCCGTGTGGGTTCCATGTCCTTAGAGTGGGGCACACAGAAATACACCCACTGCCCGCGTGGGTTCCATGTCCTTAGAGTGGGGCACACAGAAACAGACCAACTGCCTGTGTGGGTTCCATGTCCTTAGAGTGGGGCACACAGACATAGACCCACTGCCCCCTGACAAGCATGTCCTAAAGGCTGACTAATTAGGTTCATTTCCTTTAAAGTATGAATACATCTGTCTGAGAGATGATGGTCCAACAGCCTGCACACAAGTAAACCATAACTGTAAAACTGATGTACATGACAAATCAAGTTCTGGAACAAGAGTCAAGTCCAGAAGTTGACAAACAGCCACATTTTTCTATCAGAGTTTGACAAACAGTCACATTTTTCTATCGGAGTTTGACAAACAGTCACATTTTTCTATCGGAGTTTGACAAACAGTCACATTTTTCTATCGGAGTTTGACAAACAGTCACATTTTTCTATCGGAGTTTGACAAACGGCCACATTTTTCTATCAGAGTTTGACAAACAGCCACATTTTTCTATCAGAGTTTGACAAACAGCCACATTTTTCTATCAGAGTTTGACAAACAGCCACATTTTTCTATCGGAGTTTGACAAACAGCCACATTTTTCTATCGGAGTTTGACAAACAGCCACATTTTTCTATCGGAGTTTGACAAACAGCCACATTTTTATATCGGAGTTTGACAAACAGCCACATTTTTCTGTCAGAGTTTGACAAACAGCAACATTTTTCTGTCAGAGTTTGACAAACAGCCACATTTTTCTGTCAGAGTTTGACAAACAACCACATTTTTCTATCGGAGTTTGACAAACAGCCACATTTTTCTATTGGAGTTTGACAAACAGCCACATTTTTCTATCGGAGTTTGACAAACAGCCACATTTTTCTGTCAGAGTTTGACAAACAGCCACATTTTTCTATCAGAGTTTGACAAACAGCCACATTTTTCTGTCAGAGTTTGACAAACAGCCACATTTTTCTATCGGAGTTTACAGGCAAGAAGTCGCAGAAGAGGAAGAAGAAACAATACGTTGTATGTGCAACACCAGAGTTTACATGTTAATGTATGTTTCACACTACAGGTTGCTCATATGTATTCACCAACACATCCCATTTTGAGGCAGCTGTATCAAGGTAAACAGCTCTTACACTTGCTGAGAATGACTTCCCTTGAAAGTGTCAGAACGGCTGTTAGCCTCCAGCACGATAAGGCCTACATCGACGGTAAATGGGTGTCGGCCAAATCTGGAAACACTTTCAAAGGTTGGCAAATACATCTTTGGCCATTTTCTTCATCTTTTTATTATTAATAGTCCTGTACCAAATAGTGATTTTTACTATTCGGCCGTATACGATTAGCGGGACCAACTATTCGGCCAAATATGAATACAAAATAGTGTATTAAATATATCTATTTAAAAAAAATTGATAATGTCAAATGTACGCTGAACTTTTACTTCATATAAAGTAGCACAGAATAGTCATCTTCTTCTTTAGCATTCTGAGCCCTTGAAATTTACTGCTGCAGATATCACTCGTCCCCATTCATCTCTCTGGCTGGCCTTCTCTTCACAATTTGTGACACCAGTTGTTTGCAGGTCTGGCTGGACATTATCTCTCAAACTTGTGTGTGTGTGTCTGCCTCGTGGTCTGCGCCCATTAGTGTATACAGGTGTATACAGTTTTTACTTCTCTGTCAGCTGCCATTCTTTCAATATGCCCCACCCATTTTAGTCTGTTAGCTCTCATGATGCCAGTGATCAATGGTGATTTAAACAGATTATGTGTTACGTTTTTGCTTCTTACTCTCCATTCCCCGCTGTTAGCATCTTTGATGGGTTCAAAGATGTATCGTAAGACTGTTTTTGAAAAACCTGTAACAAGGCCTCATCTCTTTTATTTCTGCTTCAAGTTTCAGAGCCGTATAAAACTATTGATCTTATCAACATTTTATATTTTTTGTCTTGGTGTAGCGAGACAGACACTTTGACTTTAGCAGATGTTAAAGGGCTTAGTATACCTTATTTCTAGATTGTGTTCTAGAGTGTATTTCTTCTCTCATCATGTTGGAGCAAATGAAGTTTGCACCCAAGTACTTATATGTTTCCATTAGTTTGATTTTCATATTATCGACTTTCCATGTCTAGTTAGTATTCGTACAGAATAGTAAACATTTTAAAACATGTTATGTTTTGCATCCTTCAGTCAATCTGTGGTAACTAATAACTAGAAATGAAAGAATCCTAAGTATTATAACAAGTAACTAATCTTGGAAATTGTCACTGACAGCTTAGTTAATGCAGGAAATCTGCATTAGTTTTCAACAAAACCAATCATTCCTTGTTGTCACCATTAAGGCTGTGTATGCAAAAGCGGGTGTAAGGTAACTACTATTCGTATTCGGCCAGACTGCAACTATTCGGCTGAATACCGAATAGCCAATAGGTTCACTATTCGGCCCTGAAGCGAATACAAAGCGAATATTCGGCACAGCCCTAATTATTATTTTTTTTTTTCACTTTCGGGATTGATGATAAATCCTACTCTATGCTTTGCACTTTGTATTTCCTCTTCTCCCTATTGAATCAAAACGTAATTTTATGCAATTTCTTCATTCTTCGTACTTTTATTCTCACTCTTGATAAGCCTATTACTTTAACATTATATTTCTGCATGAGTTATGTCACTTGTTCTGCTTATATTGATTGTCCTTACCGTGGTCTTAACCTTCTGCTGGCCTCTATTTTCCCTACCTCTAGAACATCTCCTATTTTCATCTTGGGCAGAGACAATGATGATAGGAAGATAGAATGACAATTTATAAATAAAATTAAAAGACAACGCCTTAGGACAAACAGAGGAATTCAAGTATTTGGGAGCAATTTTCACATTAAATGGAAAACTGGACAAAGAAATTAGCTCGAGATGTGCCAAAGCTAATCAAGTAATGGGACAACTGTCTCCCCTGTTGACACACAAGTAGATACCCCGGAGTACTAAAGTGAATCTTATCAGAACTATTCTTTTGGCCAACACTATGCTATCAATGCCAAAATTGGACACTTACATCCTCTAATAAACATAAAATTGTTAGTTAGTTATTCAAGGTTTCAGCATCACTGCAAACGGGTTTCCCCATACTTGCTCCGTTCGTGTGCTAGTGCGGATCGAATAAAATGTCCTCCACTGTCGCATATGAAAAAGTGATGAATAAACAACTAGTTCTGGAACAGTCCAGAAATATATGCACTAAATACGTATTTCAGTTGCTCTAGGCGGCAAAGCCAACACTCGCCTCTAGAAGTGCAGTTTGTCATTGGTGGAAGTAGTTTGGCCTGATAATTTGGTTACTATACACACACATAGAATTCTTACATTAAGTATTTCACCAGCTTATGGGTAAACTGACCATCAGCCATATTGAACAAATCTCATCAACAAATGTTACATTCCCCCCCCCCCCCCCCCCCCCCCCCCCCCCCGACACTTGGCTGAGCTACAAGGTGGTAGACAAAAAAAAGGAGAAGAAGAAGATTTGTTAAACATTTTTTTTTATCTGTGAGAGAAGTATTCTGCTAAAGTTGTTGAAGATTTCACCATTTTAGCTTCATTATAATATTAAACATAGGTTTGATCTGTGACAGATTTAGTTTTATATTCATGTTTTGTTTGTGAACAGCACCTGTGGTAGCATGCTAGTCTTGGCTCATTAGACAAATCTGTATGCTGGCTGCACTAGAATTTGAACCATGCACCTCTGTTGTATAGGCACCTCTGTTGTGTAGGCACCTTTGTTGTATAGGCACCTCTGTTGTGTAGGCACCTGTGTTGTGTAGGCACCTCTGTTGTGTAGGCACCTCTGTTGTGTAAGCACCTCTGTTGTGTAGGCACCTGTCTTGTGTAGGCACCCCTGTTGTGTAGGCACCTGTGTTGTGTAGGCACCTCTGTTGTGTAGGCACCTCTGTTGTGTAGGCACCTCTGTTGTGTAGGCACCTGTCTTGTGTAGGCACCCCTGTTGTGTAGGCACCTGTGTTGTGTAGGCACCTCTGTTGTGTAGGCACCTCTGTTGTGTAAGCACCTCTGTTGTGTAGGCACCTGTCTTGTGTAGGCACCCCTGTTGTGTAGGCACCTGTGTTGTGTAGGCACCTCTGTTGTGTAGGCACCTCTGTTGTGTAGATACTTAGTATTTGCTGAAACTGACTGCCTGCTTAAGTCTCGACTTATCAGAAAAATCTTTGTGCTGGCTGCACTAGAATTAGAACCATGCGCCTGTGTTGTGTAGATACTTAGCATTAGCTAAGTTGTATGTTATCAGTTGAGTCACTTGTCTGTATTTTCTTTGCTTGGAAAGATTCAGGTGTTATTTCATTAAGATGACACATTTGTTCAGGAAAACAGAATTTTTGTGTTTGTTGAGGCTATGGTGTTGATTCTAACAAATATGAAAGTCATAAAACTTGTTAGTTTGTTGGGGCTATAGTGTTGATTCTAACAAATATGAAAGTCATAAAACTTGTTAGTTTGTTGGGGCTATAGTGTTGATTCTAACAAATATGAAAGTCATAAAACTTGTTAGTTTGTTTGGGCTATAGTTTTGATTCTAACAAATATGAAAGTCATAAAACTTGTTAGTTTGTTTGGGCTATAGTGTTGATTCTAACAAATATGAAAGTCATAAAACGTGTTAGTTTGTTGGGGCTATAGTTTTGATTCTAACAAATGTGAAAGGCATAAAACTTGTTAGTTTGTTGAGGCTATAGTGTTGATTCTAACAAATATGAAAGGCATAAAACTTGTTAGTTTGTTGGGGCTATAGTTTTGATTCTAACAAATATGAAAGGCATAAAACGTGTTAGTTTGTTGAGGCTATAGTGTTGATTCTAACAAATATGAAAGTCATAAAACTTGTTAGTTTGTTGAGGCTATAGTGTTGATTCTAACAAATATGAAAGTCATAAAACTTGTTAGTTTGTTGGGGCTATAGTTTTGATTCTAACAAATATGAAAGACATAAAACTTGTTAGTCCTAAGAAGGACATTGTGTCTATTGTGTATATGCATCTGAAAGACCATTTTTCGTACTTTCTCAGTCAATACACCTTGCTTTTGAGAGGTCATATACAAGTGTACACATAGCACTTGAGATATCATGTGCGGATGTACAAACATCACTTGCAATGTCATATACAGATGTGCACACAGCAGTAAGATGTCATACCCACACGCTAGAGATGGGCACTACAGCTTTAAGCTAAAGATGCATTGTAGCTATAAACTGTAGAGAAATTTCATATCTGTAGATTGAAATCATAGGCGAAGCTAGAGATGGATGTGATAGCTCTAGGCTGGATCTGGAAACATAACTGCAAGCTAGAGATGGATGCGATAGTTCTGAGCCATTTCTGCCGCATTATTTTTGTGGCCTGATAATCATTTTGAAAGTGGGCATTGATGACGATGATACGTGAATGAAACTTGTTTGTGTGCATTATCATGTCTGTGCCACAGACTGGGTACAGTTTAACTAGATGGTGAAGACACACTGGGTGATTAGAGTTAAACTGGGTTGTCTTAGAGAACACAGGAACCTTGAGAGAAGGGACTGGACCCTACACATCATAAATCTATTGTGATCTAGTACATATAAAATCTTCAATGTTTCATCGCCTTATCAAAATACAAGCTAGCTGCTGACCTGTCAGTACTAACTGCCCTGTGTCTGATTTGTCTGTATCCACTGCACTGTATCAGTGGGTGACCTGTCTGTACTCACTGCACTGTATCAGTGGGTGACCTGTCTGTAGTCGCTGCACTGTATCAGTGGGTGACCTGTCTGTAGTCGCTGCCCTGTATCATTCAGTGGATGACCTGTCTGTACTCACTGCCCTGTATCATTCAGTGGGTGACCTGTCTGTAGTCGCTGCCCTGTATCATTCAGTGGGTGACCTGTCTGTACTCACTGCCCTGTATCATTCAGTGGGTGTCCTGTCTGTACTCACTGCCCTGTATCATTCAGTGGGTGACCTGTCTGTAGTCGCTGCCCTGTATCAGTGGGTGACCTTTCTGTACTCACTGCACTGTATCATTCAGTGGGTGACCTGTCTGTACTCACTGCCCTGTATCATTCAGTGGGTGACCTGTCTGTACTCACTGCACTGTATCAGTGGGTGACCTGTCTGTAGTCGCTGCACTGTATCAGTGGGTGACCTGTCTGTACTTACTGCACTGTATCATTCAGTGGTTGACCTGTCTGTACTCACTGC